GCCTCACGCTGAGCTGTGCTTGTGCCCGGAGGAGGCGTTCCCGAAAGGAAGTGAAGTTTGCCAAGCCTCTGGAGCACTGCGGGCAGGGAAATGTGTTGGAGCAGCGTGGCACCTCCTGGCAGCACTATGGGGGGATTCGTGGGGCTTGACGGGGTGTGAGCATCCCAGCCCCACTGTTGCCTTTTGGCTATGCCAGATGAAGGATGGCTCAAACTGGGAGCGTCCGTGGTGGCACACCGGGTCTAGCGGCGTGGGATGCACGGGATCAGACAAGGGATGCAGGACCTCAGGGCTTTCTTCTGCTGCAGCATCACCCCAAATCCTTGTACCCTCAATGAGCCCTGATTGTGATCCTCCCTCTTTTCTTTCTCGCCATAAGCATTTCCAGGAACAGGAGGTCTCACTGTCCCAGCACTCACTGAGTGCAACAGAGCCCTCATCTCAGCTGGGAACACAAATATTTTCTTAACCTCCTCAAACTCTGCCCAAATAGGATCTTTTATCATAAACCCAGTGACACATCCCAGAACTGGAGTGCAAATGAGTTCTTTTGGCACAAGCAGGAGGACAGAGCAGCCCTTTGGCTTGGCACTTCATAGCAAAAGGAGAGTTTTATACTGCTTTTTAAGCCAGCTCTAATGTATTTTGCCGTAGAGGGACTTGGTGAAGCCACCAACAGATCCCCTTCCCCCATCATCACCAATGCTCAAAGCCTCACAGTGATGCCCAGAGGGAGGCTGTGAGTACTCAGGCTTTACTCAAATCACAGCAACGACTGGGAGGATTAAACCCTCCTTCTCCAGGGCTGCATATCCCTCTGCAAAGGATCAGCTTGGAAGCTTCATCTGCAACGTCAAGGTTGCACACGCTGGTGTCAGAGCAGGAAGCTGATGTGAGTAGGTAAAGCATAAACCAACCGAGGCCTTATTTCTTAGCTGGTCAATTACTGAAAGCTGAAATGATCCTAGCAAGGTTCTTCTATAGCTTCAGCCCTTGATGAGGCTCTCCACACCTGACCCCCAGCCAGTTCCTGTGCCAGCTCTGGCTATGACAATGCTGCATCAGAGCACTCCAGCTCCCAGGGACATGATATAATTCAAGAGGAACGCACTCTGGGATGAGCACCGTACACAGGGACAGTGAGAAGCACCAACAGGTACAGCACAGGAGAGGAAACCTACCCGTGATGGATGCTTCTGTTAATAGAGCCATGTCTTTGTGCCCAACTGGGGAATGCCACATACAATATCCCATCCCAGGAGAGCACAGGTTGCAAGGACCCACCAGCAGCTGTCTGGTCCATGAGGGAAAGGCCTGATATCTATGGATGAACCCCACGTTCCTGACTTGGTTTGCATTTGATCACACCAGCTGGCTGCGGAAGGATCATGCTGCATGCATGGACATGGTGGGTTCTCCTTGGGAGGATGAGCTGGGCAGGGGGAAGGAAGGAAAGAAGAGAGAGAAGGGATGGTGCTGGAGGAAGGTAAAGCATCCCATGGTGATGCCTTTGCCCCTTCTGGTGAGACACAGCCCACCAAGGCTGAGTAGTTCACAGCATCCCTGTCATCCCAGCATGACCAGCAAGTTGAAGGAGGTGGTTCTACCCCTCTGCTCTTGTGAGACCCCACTTGCAGCACTGTGTGCAGTTCTGGTGTCCTCGACATAAGAAGGACATGGAACTGTTGGAACAAGTCCAGAGGAGGCCATGAGGATGATCAGGGGCTGGAGCAGCTCCTGTATGGAGCCAGGCTGAGAACATTGGGGCTGTTGAGCCTGGAGAAGAGAAGCTGTGTGGAGACCTCAGAGCAGCTTCCAGTGTCTGAAGGGGGCTGCAAGGATGCTGGGGAGGGACTCTTCATTAGGGACTGTAGTGATAGGACAAGGGGTGATGGGTTCAAACTGAAACCGGGGAAGTTTAGATTGGATATAAGGAAGAAGTTCTTTAGTGTGAGGGTGCTGAGGCACTGGAATGGGTTGCCCAGAGAAGCTGTGGCTGCCCCATCCCTGGCAGTGTTCAAGGCCAGGTTGGACACTGGCTTGGAGCAAGCTGCTCTAGTGGAAGGTGTCCCTGCCCGTGGCAGGTTTAAGGTCCCTTCCAACCCAAACCATTCCATGCTTCCATGATCCTGTACCTCTAAGGGCTTTCCAGCTCTTTCTCCTTGAAACAGAGGTGTCTGCAAATCAGATGTCCAGATTCTGCCTCTTGTGTGTCTTGATCGTGGTGCTCTCCCTGACTCCATCAAGCAGAGGCAGCACCAGCCAGAATCATGCACAAAGAAGAAGGGAAAGAAATCCACCTCAGCTGGGCCCTGGCAGAGGGATTTGAGGAGGACCCCATGCAGCTTCAGCTCTCTGAAAGGCAGCAGCTCCCAACCTCCCTTCTAACAACCCTGCGGGGCTGCTGGCTTCAATAATGGAGGGCAAAGCAAGGAGGCAACATGAGGCTGTCCCCATCACCCAGGGCTTCTCTGTGGGCTTTTGCTTTATTTCTGTGGTTGGTTTTATGGGTCTTTTTCATACACAATGATCTCTGGGCCTCTTTGCTGCCTGTGGCTCTCAGCGTGCAGCTGCAGACCCTCCACCGAGGAGATAATACACACAATCCTGGCCATTATTGTGCCAAACAGCACAGCTGGAGGCTCCTGTCTCCTTCCCTTCCCAGCCTTTCTTCTCCCCCCCCCCAATAACTCTTGCAGTGTGATGCTGTGAACAATGAATGGCAGCGAAACCGCTCCGTAGAGCATCAGCCAGGGCTTCAGGAGCTGCCTCCACTCCACCAAAGCACACAAGACATTCCTTATGCCCTGTGGGTCTCCAAAAAGGTTTGGGAATGGGGGGTTTGGGAATGGGTAAAGCTGACAAAGGGCTTACCACCAGGGCATCATCCCCGCTGTGGTTCCCACCCTAGGTGACGCTTCCCTGCCCCAGTGATGTGATGTTGTGGTACCTCCTCAGCTCTTTGCCTTCTTTCCCTGGCCCAGGATCCTGCAGTTCCTGGTGCAGGGGTTTGGAGAGCAAACTCATCTAACATGGGTTGGGAGAGCTACATCCCCAGCAGGACCCATTTCATATTGCTGATGAGTATGGGTCCCCCCGTTTGTGTGCCTCAGTTTCCCTCCAGACACCTGAAGCATGACTAACCCCAGAGGTGCTCATTCCCATGTGGGGATGGTGGTACCATTCCCAGATCCAAATCCCATCAGTTTAACTGGGAAGGACTCACGAGCCAAGACATCCCAGTCTCACCCCACATAGAAGCCCGCAGACAACACCACCACTGCCACCACTGGTCCAGCCAAATGCCATCACTGTCTTCATGCACCATGTCCAGCTCCTGCCTTGCCTGGATGCTCTGCAGACACCAACCTTACTTTGCCCTTTGTGAAACGGGCAGCTGGGCTGGGGGACAGGGAAAGGGACATCCGGGGAGGTGGTTGTGGTGGGGAAGTATCCAAGTGTCCCTCAAATCACTGTCCATGGCCTTCTGAAGTGTGGCTGCAGTCCCCGTGGCTGCCAACAGTAGGTCTGGCTCTCCAGGGACCTCTGCCCACTCATGCTGCTCACCTTCCCTGGCTCCATCCTGTCCCCATCCCTGTTCCCCTGGTTTTGGCACAGATCTGTGGCACTTCTGCTATACCATAAAGATGTTCAAAGTCACACACAACCGTATTCCTTTACCACTTAACCCTCTATTAAGCCACCTCCTGACCCAATTTGACCTGATTTCACTACCAGCGGAGGAAGACATCCCAAATCACAGCATCCCCACACATACCCATGCCCCATCCCTGGCAGTGTTCAAGGCCAGGTTGGACACAGGGGCTTGGAGAACGCTGCTGTAGGGGAAGGGGTCCCTGCCCGTGGCAGGGGTTGGAACTGGATGAGCTTTAAGGTCACTTCCAACATAAACTACTCTAGGATTCTATGATCGTATGATTAAAGGGTTTTGGAGGAAGGGTTTCCTCCATCCTGCTGTGTGAAGCTCAGCCTCTCCATGCCCCCTGTCACAGACATCTCATTCTCAAGGTTGGGAGGAAAATGAATGATTTTGGGGTCAGGGACAAGTCCTGCCCTACTCAGATTGCTCTGCAGGCATTTGTCACCTCAGACGTGATAGGGGTGAGGAATCGCATCTGCTCGGACCCGTCTGCCGCAGCAGGGCTTTGCCTTAAAGTCTCAGCATTTCCCAATGAGGGTTATCTTACTCAGAGTGAAAAAACAGCCCTAAAGGTCCTTATTTGAGCTGCTGGACATGAACCAGGGGGAAAGAGAGGAGTCAGCATCACGGATACACAGAGAGCAAAGAAGCAGCAGCAGAGGGGAAAAGGGAAGGAGAATAAAGCCCACAAGTGTCAGCACTCAGCTGTTACACACAGCACATGGCCCTGCACTCAGCCACAGCAAAGATAAAGTGCTTCGTTCCAGTGTGCCACTGCTGCGACAGGCAGAATTCCAGCCTGGTTAATGCAACTCCGGAATGTCCCGTGCGAAGGCAGCCAGGTTGGTTTAATCTTTGGCAGTGTCTGCAAGCAGTGTGTGTGGGGAGGATGGGATGATTCTCAGAGCATGTATTTCCTTCCCCCTCCCCCATCATGAATACTCCAATAAGGAATGATGGAAATTCCCAAGAAATTAAAGAAATACATATAAAAACTTCAATACAGCTGAAAATCACCAAGTTTCCCTGCAGCAAATGGCTGAGCCCTCCATCCATTCACCTCCATCAGTGCCAAGTTTTAAGACAAGAATCAGCTTGCTCAAGCCAGGCTTTATCTCTTCCCAACTCTCAGCATCTCCGGTGTTGGGAAGTCTGGCAGCACCACGGCTCCCAGGGTACCAGGGTGAGGATGCCTTGCCTTATCCCACCTTCCAGCCTCTGCTTCTCCCCACCAAAAGCTGACAAGTGAGGAGGAGGAGGGAAAAGAGATTAAAGGGGAGGAAAAGAAGCAGTTAGGGATGGAGGGGAAACTCTAAACCTCTGGAAAACGATGGCTTACCTTTATTTCCCAGCTCTGTCTCCACCGGGATGACACACGCTGCTTGTCACTGCAGGGATGGGGCGACACAGGATGCTTTATCCTGCATTCAAAAACATGGGAGACTTCTGCTTGGTGTTTTGTTTTACAGCTCTTTCCTGCCACCCATTCAATGCTGGGCTATTCCTTGCACTCAGTCTTAAGGAATACCGGGTGCAGGAGACCCTCCCCCTGACCCTGCAGCCTTCCCTTCCATTCCACCTCGCTGCCAGATATTAACATCCCCTGGGATGTCCCTCACATCCTCATTCCCTCCGGGCATTCTGTAATTGCTCCCCACTGCCTCCGCCAGCAGCTGCTCGGATTCATTCACAAACCAGCAGCGTCTCCCCGCAGCACAGCTCGCTCTGGGATACTGCAAGGGAAAACCCATGGTCCTGGATACTGCAAAGGGAAAACCTGTTCTGGGATACTGCAAAGGGAAAACCCATGGTCCTGGATACTGCAAGGGAAAACCTGTTCTGGGATACTGCAAAGGGAAAACCCATGGTCCTGGATACTGCAAGGGAAAACCTGTTCTGGGATACTGCAAAGGGAAAACCTGTTCTGGGATACTGCAAGGGAAAACCTGTTCTGGGATACTGCAAAGGGAAAACCTGTTCTGGGATACTGCAAAGGGAAAACCCATGGTCCTGGATACTGCAAGGGAAAACCTGTTCTGGGATACTGCAAAGGGAAAACCCATGGTCCGGATGCTGCCACCCAACCTCCTTCCTACCCCAGTCCTGAGCATCACTCACCCCACCACCTCCAGAGAGGGATCCTGTGTTGGAGTGAGACAGGAAACGGCTGAGCACGGGTCAGGACCTCACCGGGCCCTTTATAACCCACACATGAGCAAGCACCTCCCATTCCCATGTCCTCCCCGGCATAGGGACTGGCTTCCATGGGTCACAAAAGGACACAAGCTGTGCCCTATGAGAGGTCGATGGGAGATACGAACCCACTTTGCCTTTGCAGCTTCGAGGGCGAGCAGCCAGCCAAGTTTAGCCTGCAAATTGCCCCAGAGACAACCCGAGCTCCCCTGGGTCCTTGCAGCATCTAACACATCCAAGTGTGCTCCTTCATTGCCGGGGGGATCAGCGAGGCGTTGGTCTAACCCTGCCTTTCCACAGTGCCTCTCCTGGCATTCCCTCTGCTCTCTATCACTGCTCTAAAGCCCCCGCGGCTGCCAGGAGAGCTTTGGAGCAAGCGCTCAATGCGATATTTCAGCGCAACGCCAGCCACCAGCCCCGGCTGCTCTCTGCAGAGCAATGGCACAGTGTCCACCCAGACAAGTTTCCTACTGTAACCGGCCTGAATGCGGTTATTCAGCCTAACGGCAGCTGATTTATCATGGCAGACACACGGGGAAATGCTTCCACTTGGGAGACTGGAGGCTCCTCGCCCAGCTGCGCTGATGAACCCGTGTTTCCCCCCCCCTCTCCCCATTAGCTCACCGCGATGGACAGCATCGGTTAACGGAGGCGATGCCGCTTCCCTACACCAAAACCCACCACCAGCTCCATCCTCCTCCTCCCGACCACCCCAAACCCCGAGCCATAGGAGCAAAGTTGAGGGACCCTTTTGTTTCCAGAGGGCTGGCACGTGTTGTGCTTCCCTGGGCTAAGCAAACCCGCCGTGGTCTGCGCCTTTTAAATGACTGCAGCGTTAATAACAAGTTTCCATGGAGCTGCTTAAAAAGTTTACAGGGTGTGTGTGTTATCAGGGGAGCGCCGAGCTTTGTGACCTCCCTCTTCGAGAGTCACTACCAGATCCTTTCCTTCCTTTCTTTTTCGTTCGTTTTCTTTCTTTCCTTTTCTTTCTCTTTCGGTCTCTCTTTTCTCTCTTCTAATAAGAGAACAAATAAACCCCGGTCTGCTGCCTCCCCTCCTCTCCCCAAACACACCTTCCCCTCCAGCTTAATCCACTTACAACCATGGGAAACTCCCAGGCAGGGGAGCTTTGCCCTGCCTTTATCTCCGCAGCCCCTGGGGAGCAGACCCCCTCCTCCTGCCCCCTTCCAGCCTCTTCACCCCATCCGAGCGTTACCACCCTCCCCTTCTCCTTTCTCCCCTTACCTCGAACCCCAGCGAGCCTCCCAGCACCAGAACCCGACCTAGGAGCTTCTCTCCTTCCCCTCGACCGCCTGGCCCGGGGAACGAGGGGGGGAGAACGGAGCCCTGGCTGAAATCAAAGCCCCGCAGCCGGGCACGGGAGGCGGTGCGGAGCCTCCAGCTGCTGCTCGGATTACTTTGCAGCCGTGGCAATCCCCAGCGCTCCTCATTGCACCGGGGGGGAAGGAGAAGGGAAGGGATCCCCGCCTGGAAACGATGCATCCCGCCCCGGTGGGAGGGGAGGGAGCTCTCACGCCCCCTCTGCACCCCAAAATCCCGCTGTGGGAATGGCAGAAGTGGTGGCAAAGTAGCTCACCCCCACCCCAAACCTCTGTGCTTCCCCGTTTGCCGCACCCGAAGTGTTTTGCGATGTCGTGTCCCCCCCCGCCTCGTTGAGCCCCTACAACTCATCACAGCCCAAAGTTTCCCCTTTCGGAGGCTGAGGGAGGGGGTCCCTGCAGATACCCCCAGTGCGGGCGCTCGGCTCGGACCTGCAGGGGGGCAGCAGGGAGGGCTCAAACCTCCCTTTCCCATCCCCAATAATGAGAACTGGGGGTGCCGAGGGTTGGGGGGGGCACGACTCACCGGGGCCGGGGTCGGGTCCCACGGAGGGGAGCGGGCGCCGCCGGGAGCCGGCAGCAGAGGGGCTTGGGGCCGGGTGTCCCCTTCCTCCCTCCTCCTCCTCCTCCTCCTCCTCCTCGTCCAAGGCGTGCAGCTGGCCGGGCAAACGGGCTGCCCCTTCCTCGCAGGAGGAGGGAGCTCAACAGATGGCTGCACACAAGGGAACATCTGGGAGGAGGAGGAGGAGGAGGAGGAGGAAGAAAGAGGCAGGACTTGCGCTCGGCTGTGCCACTCCTGAGCTCGCAGATCCCCTCTTATGGGGGAAAAAGGGGGGTGACAAACAGGCCTTGCACACGCACACATTGCTCTGCATGCTCTGCATCCCCCCTGGGTAAAACCCCTTCTTGTCCTTATTCTTTCCTGGGGATCACTCCGGAGTTGCCTTCACAGCACTGCCTTGTTTCCAGCCCTGACCTCTTTTGCAGGAGTTGATCCTATTCCTGAATGCTGTCTACACCCGGTTTTCCAGGACTATAGAGCCGATGTCAGCTCCAGCACCCTAGGATGCAGAGCACAAGGCAGCACCGAGGTCTGAACAACGCCAGCAGACAGGAGAGTGGGGATTATCAATTGTATGGTGCAAGCCTTGAAATAGGATAAAACTTGGGAAAGAGAGAAAAAGAGAAGGTAAAAAATCCACAGTTTGCGAGTAGAGAAATCTGGACCCCGTCACTGGAGGATGGTCTCTGGTGCTGCTGCAAGGATGCTGTGAAAGAGCAGCCCCGCACCAGAAGTTCTTGATTATCAGGTATAATGGCTCAGTGATGGCTCAAGTCATGATGCTGGTACTGGGAAAAGAACCAGGAACCTATCTAGTGTGGTGGTGATGGACAGGGCAAAAAGGACCTCAAGGGTCCATGAGTTTTCCCACGCCGCTCCCCTCATGTGCTAGCCATGATTAGTGGCCTGTGCCAGGTCTCAAGCTGTGAAGCTGCTTGCTGCTTAATAAGTTTAGGTTAAGAAGGTACAATCAGGCTCCCTGTGCTTACTTTTCATAGCTCTGGTGCTTTGAAATCCGCCACAGGCCCCACATCAATGATCAAAGTTTTCTCAGGCTGTGAACCTCAGGCAAGCGTGTTGCTGCGATTTGCGTTTAGCATCTCTTTGTGATGAAAAGGTGGCAAAAAGGCTGGGTTTTTGCTCTGCTTTCTCTGAGCACATCACTCCATGAGCTGCCCCCCCCCAGCAAACACAGCTCTGATTAATGGTCTGGGGCTCAAGGCAGGAGGTCCTGGGGGCATCAGAAGGAGATCGCAGTGTTTCCTCTGCACCCTCTGAATTGGGCAGCATGGCTTATCTGGGTTACGTGCTCACTGCATCCACATCTAAGGAGCTGCTTTTTGGGATCACCATCAGACTCCATCAGCTCTGCCAAGGAGGGGTGAGCCATCCTTGGGAGCCAGACAGAGGAAATCATAGAATGGTTTGGGTTGGAAAGGACCTTAAGATCATCCAGTTCCAACCCCCTGCCATGGGCAGGGAAATCTCTGCTCAGGCCTCAGCGGAGCCAAGTGCTTATGGGGAAAACCCTAGGAAAACCCCTTAGAAAACCCCTTAATCTGGGTTGTGATTTTCTATTTCAAGGTGGTGGTGATATCTCCAGACATGAGCAATCTGCCCTAAGGTTCCATTCAGCCAGGTCTGCGCACTGTTCCTCTGTGTAGCTGTGGGTAGGGGAAGCAGCTATGCTGGAAGCTTTTGTTTTATTTTCCACTTTGTTCATGTTTCCATGCCTCGTGCTTGGCCTTTGCCGTGTCTAAGTTGGCCTCAGGAAAGCAAAATGCCAGTCTGAACGTGGAGGATTTGGGAAATAAACCCTCAGGCTGAGATAAAATCCAGCGATCAGCGCTGCCAGGACTGGTGATGTGAGAGGAAGAACTGACAAACATGAACATGGCTTAAAACCTCTGGATTTGGATAAAGAAAGATCTTTAAACTTTGGGTTTTGGTCTGAAGTTTATGGGCTGCATCAAAAGGAGCGTGACCAGCAGGTCGAAGGAGGTGATCCTGCCCCTCTGCTCTGCTCTTGTGAGACCTCACCTGGAGCACTGTGTGCAGTTCTGGTGTCCTCAACATAAAAAGGACATGGAGCTGTTGGAACAAGTCCAGACGAGGCCACGAGGATGATGAGGGGCTGGAGCAGCTCCTGTATGGAGCCAGGCTGAGAAAGTTGGGGCTGTTCAGCCTGGAGAAGAGAAGCTGCGTGGAGACCTCAGAGCAGCTTCCAGTGTCTGAAGGGGGCTGCAAGGATGCGGGGGAGGGACTCTTCATTAGGGACTGGAGTGATAGGACAAGGGGTGATGGGTTCAAACTGAAACAGGGGCAGTTTAGATTGGATATAAGGCAGAAGTTCTTTACTGTGAGGGTGGTGAGGCACTGGAATGGGTTGCCCAGCAAATTTATGAATGCTCCATCCCTGGCAGTGTTCAAGGCCAGGTTGGACAGAGCCTTGGGTGCCATGGGTTAGCGTGAGGTGTCCCTGCCCATGGCAGGGGTGTGGAACTAGATGATCTTAAGGTCCTTTCCAGCTGTAACAGCAGCACTCCAAATAGCCCTCATAGACTACCACTGCAGAGACAGGTCTGAATGCCACAAGACATCTTCTCCCAGCTTGGTTCTTTCAGGGCCATGCTGAGCCTTTCTCTGACCTTCTGTTCCCAGAAGACACCAGCTCAGTTCCTTGTTTCTCAACATCTGATAACATCCTGCCTGGTTTATCTTGCCTAAAATCCTCTTAAGCCAAAGGAAAGGTATCTGAGTCACTCTGAGCTCCTCCTGAATGAATTCTAATAGACACATACTTAGCAAGAGGACTTAAAGAGTGAATGAGGATGACATAAACTGGATTAGTAAGAAGAGCCCGTGTTGGAGTTTCGCCCCTTTGAGTCCCTCCCTGAGATCTCATTTCCCTTCCTTTTCTTATGCAATCTCAGGAAAGGCGATTTCTCATGCACCAAACTGTTAGAAAAGCCACAAACCCAGATGGGTGCCTTGCAATCCCCAGCTCTGATCTTCTCCCCCATCCCTGCCCATGGCAGGGGCTTGGAACTGGATGATCTTAACGTCCTTTCCGACCCAAACCATTCTGTGAGTCTATGTTTCTATGTGTCCTCCTCCCTGGGTATTCCTGCAGAGGAAGGAGCCTTCCCATTGTGTAGTGCATTGCTCATGAACTCTCTCCTTTGAGGCTGAAATAGAGCAGATGTCTTAGGAAGCTTGAGTGCATTTGGTGGCATCTCTCAGAAGGAAGCACCCGCAGCAGCAGCCAGCAATGATTACTTGTGGAAGGGTTTAGCTACTGCAAGAAGTTAGAATAGCAGCACACAACAGCCACCATTCCCACTGGGAATATGTAGAAGAGGTGGGAATGTTGCTCTGGGAATGTTTCCCATCTTGTAGGAGTCCTGTGGTAAGTCAGAGCTAGAAATAGAGATGTTTTGAACTCCTGTAACAAGCAAGACTTAAGACCCCTGGTGGTCTTAATTTGCACCTATACCCATGACACTGGGAATCTTGGAAACACATTGCAAGCTGCTGTATACAGCCTGGGTCAAAAATGCTGGTTGTCCTGTAGGTCCATGCTTATCCTTTGTCACTGACCATGTCTTACAGATGGAAGTCTCATCAGTGATTGACTGCAGCCAACTCGCTTGGTCTGTGTCGACCAATGGACTCGTATGGAAAACTGTGTCACC